AGTTTGTGTAGACGCCGAAGAATTCATTAGCAAAAGTGCCTCTTTGATCTTTAAAGTAAAAGTAATTTGCTTGTTCGATTATTTGAACATGCATTTAATCTCGATCTTTATAATTGTGAATATTTTGCTTTATCATTAATTAATTTTTGCAATACTATAAATTTTGTGCTATATATGTTACGTGCTATTAAATAATAACTAACTTTTAACAAATGGTAATTAGATATTTGTAAAAACTATATACGATAACAGAAAGATTGTGGAATAGTGGCATAATTTTGTATCCCTTTTTTCATAAATATTTTTCATAAGTATAGAGAGTTTATTTCATGAATTACATGTATATATGGAAGAAAGAATTTTATAAAAATGTAAATATTTTTAATATCAATAATAATTTTTATATCACAACAATAATATTTTTTATATTAATAAAAAAATACTGACAAAATTCTTCCTTTCATATATACATATAATTTGTGAAATAAACTCTTTCAAAGTCAATCAGTGAATTTTTACTGAAAACTTATAACTGCAAATTAGTGATTAGTCACTGTTTTCAGTGATAATCCACTGATTCACTTTTAGAGAGAACAATAGAATAGTCGTCTTGGCAATGAGACATTTTTGCGACTATCCGGGATCTACGATTCGCATCAAGACACGATATTATGTATATTCATAGACGTGCAATTATTTGGCTAAAATTCATTCTTTGGGGATAAATTCATGTAGCGTCTGGGTGCGTCAGCAATTCTCTTCTTCGTTCTGTGGGCGCTCGGTGTTATAAAACCGCTCGATCTTCCGAAAAACGGAATAAAATGCGCCGCGCGACCGTAACTGTGGAATTCCGTGTGAATGGCCGCGTATGAAACTTAAAGGTCTTGCCTTCCCCGGATGATAAAATGTTATCGTTAAGCTGCAGCTTAAACTTGGATGAGAAATGTCGGAGCGATTCAGTCGAGGTGATTGAAATATCAGGATCTCTTCTACTTAAAGTTTAGAAGTAGATAATAGAAATTTTATTATTTGTATTTTAAAGTTAAACCTAACAGAGACTATTAATTAAGGGATAGCACCGTTCTATAGCGTATAAAATAGAAAGCTTATTTTATATTAAAAAAAAACAAAGATTATAATTTAAAATATAGAAAAAAATTGAGATTTTTGGTATTGATAAAGATTACTTCGCACTTCGTTAGTGCCGCTGGAATGATTAAAGGAAATAAAGTTTAAAATGCAAAATAATTGAAGAAGAAATTCACTATTTACTCGTATAAACTTGATTTTGCTTGCTTTATTTAGCCCTTACTTGGCTTATTTATGTAACAATCAACTGCATTTCAACTCTTCTACTTTGCATTTTATACTCTGCAGAACTTCATTTTTCATAAACTTAGAGGCGAGCTTTACGCGGTATCTCTGTATCTTGAAGTCGTGTTTGTCCCGCTCCTTCTTTCTCCAACATTCATGAATTCAATTATCCGCCGTATTTCCCAAGGATGCCGTATGTCTAACAGTTTACAATTTGGCTTACGCCGTGGCGTTTTCGTTACATGCGACAGAAATGGAACGATGCCGCACGAATAACGAGAATTTCTCGAAAGCGCCGGGAAGAAACTGGCACGTGCATTTTTCATCATTTCGTAAAAGGGTACGACAAGATGCCGCCGCGCCGGTCGCGAGGAAATGCAGTCGTACTTAATACCTTGCATTCGTAAAATTGAGATAAAGATAGAATTAAACAGGAATCCTGCTTGCCCAAGTCATAATATTAAACCTGGGTTTTCTAATTATGCACGTTGCAAAATGTTGCGTAATTTTTATCAAAGTTAGGTGGAATCTTTTATCTGCCGGATCCCTTTATAAGATAGAAATTATTGTCTTGATACAAAAAGGATATCTTTCTCAGAATTATTAATTTACGGAAATACAGTAGAGTAACTCAATATGTTACGTTGATTTAGTAACTTTATTACATAATTATGATGTATAATACTGCAATATAATTCAACACTGTCTCTATGTAACAAACAATATAATCCTATTCTGCCTGTACAATAAATCGCTATCCGACTTGATTACGATTATATTTATTATCGCGGCAAGTATATTTTGTACCGAAGTAATGCAAAGATAAGTTAATTTTCTCTTATATACTGTTTCGATAATATCCAGCAGATTGCATTACAAGGAGCTTTGTCGAGATGCGATTGTTATCACGCCATTACCGCGCTCATTACAAAGGGAATTTATTCAGCGCGAACACTCGTGCTTTAATTACGCGTATTTTTTCTTGTCTCCGTCTGTGGATTCGCATCGCGGTGCTTAAATTCACATCCTTGCGCCTTTGTTCTGACTTTCGCGGGCGGGCTACAATGTAAATGCATATATGGAATGCAAATTCTGTTCGTCCTCGAGCGAAAAGACACGCGAGGAAGCGTGAATACTAACGACACAAAGTACAACACGATCTTATAGTTGTCAATGGAATTCTAGCCGTGAGAACAGGACTTTACATTAATTCTATTATTCTTAATTGTTAACATTGCAGGGGATATTACAGGTCTCACTTTCTTTCGACTGTAGAGTTAGACTTAGAATTAGAAGAGAGCTCCTTACTTTGAAACATTCATACTTAGGAAAATTTTTACGTAATTTTTATCCCGTTTATATTTTAAATATTATTTCACTTTTGTGTTATTCGCATACCGATGTTCTAATTTTATCTCATACTGAAGATGGTCCAGTTTGCGATCGAAACGTATATACATTTTTTATCTAATAAATTCTCCGACACTACCATCTTGTCTAGGCTCTGAGCCCTCTCTTTTTTATTGTTTGATTTTTATCGTACCATAGGTTTTTTTTATGAAATATTATTTTACTTTGAGATTCTATTATTGAGATATTAATAATCGTCGAATCTTTTTATTGAAGGCAGCGAATTTACCGGAGAAGTAAAACCGAGGCTATTATATTTAACCATATCAGTTCACTAACCGTATTCTTCAGCAAGTATAAAAAGGCACAAATTAATCAAATTTATATCGCCAGCAATTATACAATATTGTTAAAAACTTCAATGCGGACATTTCGACATTGTCCCCTCGTGTGGATTTTGATTGATGGAAACCGTTACACTTGTTCGGCTTTAAGCTGGTTCAACTTTACGGTATCTTACTCCTTGAGATGTCGATAAGTGTCGATAAACTCCTGCCGCAATATGAAACTTTAGCCCAAGTATCAGGTCCTCGATACATCGACTAGCTATTTACAAGCCCAAATACTTCACTAATCTGTGCATTAATCCATTGAGCTCGGCTTATTACCTATTAATTATTAGAGAGCGAGGTTTTAATACGAGTTAGTAGTAATTCCTAATATACTTAGACAGCTAACGTTTAAATTTTCGTGCTGTTCCGTCGACATATTTTCCTGAATTAACAATAATAAATGCTTCTTTTCCAAACGCATAAATATACGTAATTAGATATAAAAATTTCAAGTCATTCTTCACAAGTAAATTATCAAGTTAAATATATTAAGTCTCCTCAGGTAATAAACACGTTAAGAATAAAAACTTTTAAGTCATTTAGTAACACCAACAAATTACTCGAAAGTCACTAAACCACAAATTCGTACTTTGAACTGAATAAAACGTTTATATGTAATATAAATGGGTACGTAAAGAGAGAGAGAGAGAGAGAGAGAAAGAAAGAGAGAAAGTGGCGAAGTTAAAAATAAATAGAAAGAGCGAAGGAAAAGAGATAGAGCTAAGGAAACACTATGTAATAAAAAAGCGGTAGCTTAGTTTACAGAAAAAAAAGATAAAAGAGGCGATTTATTCAAGAAAGATAAACTGCAGGTCGTAATGGTAGAAAGCAGGCGAAGCTGGGGGGGGAAAACGAGGCTCACAGAGGGAAAGAGACAAGCGAAGAGATGAGGAAAGGGTATAGAGAAACAGGGGGAGAGAGAGAGAGAGAGAGAGAAAGACGAGAACTTAGAGGCAGAGACAGAGACAGAGAAAGAGAGAGAGTGTTCGCGAAGTTGTGTATTCGCGAGAAGTAATCGAGAACTCCGAATTGGGGTGGCTGCAGAAGCGATGGGTAGGTAGATGGGGTAGGTCTGGACTCGCGCAGTCCTAAGAAGATAAACGTTGCTCGGACGCCGACAGAACAACAGAGACAGACAGAGGGAGGGAGGGGGGGGCAGAGAGAGAGAGAGAGAGAAGAGAGAGAGAGAGAGAGAGAGAGAGAGAGAGAGAGAGAGAGAGAGAGAGAGAGAGAGAGAGAGAGAGAGAGAGAGAAGA